TATGGAAAGGGAAAAAAGTAGAACATACACCCTAATGAATCCTGGGTAATGTTATCTGAGAAGGTTGTGTGACAGCGACACCTCAACACTAAGAGGAATATCTAGCACCTGGATCTTGGTTTGTCAATACCATTTTCTACTAAAAGGAACCAGAGTTCCTTCAAGAAATGGATTATTCCAGGGCTGGAGAAAGGAACGACGAACCTGGAACATCTGTTCGTTTTAAAAAGTAAGGAAATGCCCAAAGAATGATGGGGGCAATCAAAAGGACACAGAAGTGAGATTAAAAGAGCTCCCTCTGGCTGAATCTGGGATAATCGGAGCATCAAAATGAATGTTATGAACGGATCATAGCCCAATGCACAAAACAGGAAACCCTGAGTCCATACTGATGTTAATTAATTAATTGAATATTTGACATGGGATGAAGTTTTTACATAAATTCAAAGTATTTTTGAATACCAAAATACCGAAGTATTTCTGAATACAAAATACCAATAACGAATGGGAAAAGTAATTTTACAAAGGAGAAGCCTGGCAGATACAACCTCCATCAAGTGACCTTAGTGAACCTCGCCAGTAATGGGACAAATCACACCATCGCCGTCCTGCGTTATTCCTGCCTGAGGATGCACGGCCTGAATCTAATCAAGAGAAAACATAAGATAAACCCAAACCGAGGGACATCTACAAAATAACTGGCCTGTGTTCTCCCAAAGTACCAAAGCTGTGTGAAAGTCACAGGAAGATTGGCAAAGGATTTCAGATTTAAGGAGACTAAAAAGATGAGAAAACCGAATACGATGTGTGGTTCTTAAATTGATCCTTTTGCAAAACAGACATTATTGGGAAACTGGAATGGTATCTGAGAGGATTAGGTAATAACAATACAAACATGTTAATTTTCTGATTTCCTCCGCTTTTCCCTGAAGTTTTATTGGGGAATAATTATTGACATACCTCCTTGCATAAGTTCAAGATGTAGGGCATGATAGTTCAATTTACATATATTATGAAATGATTACCAAGTAGATTTAGTTAAAATCCATCAACTCATGTGGATACAAAAAAGAAAGAAAGAAAGAAAGAAAGAAAGAAAGAAAGAAAGAAAGAAAGAAAGAAAGAAAGACAAACTCCTTTGTGAAGAGAACACTTAGGATTTACTCTCTTAACAACTTTCCTATACATCACACAGCTGTGTTAGCTTTAATCATCATGCTGCCCATGACACACCTAGTGCTTCTGTATCTTGTGCCTGGAAGCTTCTACCTTTTTGTCTGCATTCCTCCAACTTCCCCTCCCCTCAACTCCCACCTCTGCTTACAAGTCTGATTTCTTTTTTTTCTATGAGTTTGGTAGTCTTTGTTTTTAGATTCCACATAGAAGTGAAAGCAAACATTATCTGTCTTTCTTTGTCTGACTTATTTCACCTAGTGTAATGTCTTCAAGGCCCCTCCATGTTGTCACAGATGGTAGGATTTCCTCATTTTTTATGGCTGAAGAATATTCCATTATATATCTATATATCTATATCTATATCTATATCTATATCTATATCTATATATATATCACAACTTCTTTATTCCTTCATCCATTGAGGGACATTAACGTTGTTTCCATGTCTTGGCTACTGCAGATAATGCTGCTGTGAAACTGGGAGAGCAGATACCTTCCTGAGCTAGTGTTTTTGTTTCCTTTGGATATATTCCCAGAAGTGGAATTGCTAGACCATATGGTGGTTCTATTTTTAATTTTTTTTATGAACTTCCATACTCTTTCCATAGTGGCTGTCCCAATTTGCATTCTCACCAACAGTGCACAAGGGTTCCCATTTCTCCACATCCACACCAACATTTATTATCTTTGTCTTTTTGATGATGGCCATTCTAAAAGGCATGAGGTGCTATCTCATTGTGGCTTTAATTTGCATTTCCCTAATGATTACTAATGTTGAGCAGGCTTCTCATGTGCCTCTTGGCCATTTGTCTATCTTTGGGAAGATGTTTATTCAGGTCCTTTGCACATTTTTAAATTGGCTTATTATTTCTTGTTTGCTATTGAGTTGTATGAATTATGTTGGATATCTATTTGGGATATTAACACTTTAGCAGATATATGGTCTGCAAATAAATTTTCCCATTCTGTAGGTTGTCTTTTCACTTTGTTGATGATTTCTTCTGTTGTGTAGAAGCTTATTAGTTTGATGTAGTCCCATTTACTTGTTTTTGCTTTTATTGCTTGTGTTGATCTTCTCCGATTGTGTTAGTTATGTTGAGGTTATGTAGAATGTCCTTACTGGGAGGAATTAACACACTCAAGTATTTGGGTGATGGGTATCATGTCATACTTTCAAACTGTTCAGGAAAAAAAGCTTTTGTAATGTGCTTCTACTTTTCTATAAGCTTGAAATTGTTTCAAAAAGAAAAGAATCTGACCCTTAGGGGCCTACTTAACATAAGAATAGTAAGATTGTTACACTAACAATCTTTGTTATCTATTTTGGTGTGTATGTTTGCTGCTGTGTGCTTGTATAACATCAAATCATTGCTGATGGCCTAGCATTTATGCCCCAAATCATTCTGGAGCTAAACCTTCTGCTCCTGGATTTACCTCTTTCAACTTTTGTGGCTCAGTTGTAAGTTCAATATAGTGTGTGTAAATCTCCACAGTTACTGTGTCTATTATTTTTATAAGACTTTTAAACTCATTGAAACACAACTAATTTTTAGCATTCCATTGTTCCTGGGGATTCAAGATTCAGGGACATAGGATATTCTGAAATTAAAACAGAAGATTATAAAAAACTGCATACAAGGATTTTCCTTTTCTATTCAGTATAATTATTTCTGTGATACATTATTTTTGTTAATTTTTTTCAAGCATTTATTTAAATTCCAGTTGGTTAATATATAGTGTAATACTACCTTCAGTTGTAATACATTATTTTTATAGACAATATGTCACATTTGCATGAAATGATTCTCTTATGAATCATTAATCAAGTTATTATAAACTATAAACCATACTCGCCCCATACATTTTACTCACTAGCTCTCTTGTCCTTTAAACGTTCTTGGAATTATTCCCAGCTATTAATATGTGTTTGTAAATAAAAGCACCAGACAAACCAGACTGTGATCTGCTCCTCCACACCTGCTGGTGGTGGGAGGGAAAAAGAGGCTGCAGGAAGGGTGCCTGGGAGGCTCAGTTAATGGGTTAAGTTAAGCGTCTGCCTTAGGCTCAGGTGGTGATCCGCCCGGAGTCCTGGGATTCAGTCCCAGGTTGGACTCCTTGCTCTATGGGAAGTCTGCTTTCCCTCTCCCTCTGCTCCCTGCTCCTGGTTCTCTCTCTTGTTCTCTTGCATGCTCTATTTCAAATAAACAAAAATAATCCTTAAAAAAAGAGAGAGAGAGGCTGCAGAAGCAGGCAAGTGGGAAAGAGTAAGAGGAAAGGAACCTTCAGCATAACTCAGCTTTGATCTCCTCCCTCTCTTCCTCATTACTGCACCCATCACAGACTAGCTGAGTGTCCAGGTGAGTCAGGCCAGGTAATGAGCACTAGGGATCCTATGATGAAAGAGACATTCTGGGCTCTTTAAGGAGCACTGAGTTCAGAGGAAGAGAGACTGCTGCACTAGACATTTAAGCAGACGCTGATAGTTTCTACAAAAGAAGTCAAATGCAATGTGCTATCAGAGAAGAAAAAATGCTACCTGACAGGAATAAGGAAGGAGTCTTTCCAGAAAAGGTGGGGTTTAAAGCCTTGGCTGCAGTTTGTCAGGAGAGGAGGAGGGAGGGAGGGAATTACAAGCAAAAGGAAAAGTTGAAGCAGAAGGCTGAAGGTCTGAAAGCCTGACTTCCTCAGAGCTCACAGAGGGACGGGTGAGCGCACAATGGAGTGCTGTGTGGGTGTCTGGGAGGAGGGAGGCGCTGAGTACGGACCAGAAAGGCCCATGTGGGCAAACCATTTAAAAAAAGAAAACAGATGAAAAACAAACAGCAGCAGCACACACTCTTGTGTGCTGTGCTAAGGAATTTGGACTTCATTCTGAAGGCTATGGAGTGTCAGCGGAGGGTTGCTGGAGAACGACTGGGTCAGCTCCTGCCCAGTGCAGGGATCTGTGGTTCTAGGGAGTGGGAGGGAGTGTCCGACCCCCAGGGCACTGTGAGAACGGCTGGCTCCCTCCCTTCATCTAGCTCCCTGCTCAAGGGATACCTCCTACTCCTCAGCCCACCCCCACAAAAACAGCATGTCTGGCATTTTCTATTCCTTATCTGGCTTTAGTTTTCTTCATGATACTTCCCCAATACTTGACTTACCTGTTTGCTGTCTGCCCATTATTGCTGTCTCCCCACCACCTCGTCGGGTGCCGGGCATACAGTAAGGGCACCTATCTTCTCAAATGAACAAAGGGTAAAGCAAACTTGCCAAAGAACTTGGTCCAAAGAACTTGGGAACCCATAAAGCTCAGATGCTACGAAGGGAAATTTGTAGTGACCAAGAGGCTCTGAGCACTCAGGAAAAGGGATGGTACGATAAGAAGCTCTAAGAGCTTCTTCAGAAGGACAGACTTCCAGAGGAGATGGCAAATCCTCTCTCCTTTGATCCTTTTCGCTTTTCCCCCAGGGCTGGCCCTTTGTAATGGGAAGGCAGGGCTTAGTATTCTAATTTAGGGATGTTGGAACCTAGATAAGGATCTCAATGGGGAAAGAGAATGAAGGATGATCAGTTATGATACAGGGGTGAATTCATCAACAAGGTTCCTAGATTAGTATCTATCCTGGGAGGTAGTTTCCTGAGCCTCCACAGCTGCACATCTGTTGGAGGAGGCAGAGACCAGAAACTTCTTAGAATACTGGCTGATGGCTCAGGTCCCTAACTTTCTCGAGCCACACAGCTAAAAATTGAGGGAAACAGACAAATCTCAACTATCTGAAAACTAATGGACTTGTTTCTAGATCTTTCGAATTTGAGAACCAACCAATTTGTTCCAATTTCAGGCAACCAAAACCTGATATTATGGATATGCAAGGAAAATACAGTCGTGGTTCTATCGCCTGGCATATGGGAGATTATGAGAACATCAATGAGAGAAATTCGAGAAGATCTGTCCTTGTCAGGCAGAGCACAACAGCGTTGCCAAGAGCTTCCAGATCACCTAAGTTGCCCAAGGTGCCAAGAAAGGAGGAGGTACCATCATTTGCTTTTCTGAATCATCACAGAAAACATTGAATTATTTTAAGATGAATTAGAGAACGCTATTTAGTAGTACTACTACTAATAACCAGTTTTATAGCTCCTTGTAACCTACCAGAACATTTTGGAATTAATATTGGATTTCCACAGTAATGTCCGTACTTCGGGTAGGTGGGTATTATTCCCACTTTATAGCTGAAAAAAAACAAGAGGTTGTAGAGTTCAGTCCTTCCAACTACTTCTTTGTCATATGAGTGAACCTGAAGAGAATGGCCGTCTCCTTGATTTGCAAAAGCTGAGAAAGATCTCAGTGTGTGACATGGAGGTAAATCTATAGCCATGTCAAAACTCTTGCAGACTGGTTAGCAGAGTAAGTGTATACTTGTTCAAGTGTTTCCCACTGCTATCTATGAAATCTTGAGCAAGTTGCATAATTTCCCTGTGTGGCTTTTTAATTTTTTTTAATTTTTAATTTTTTAAAAAAATGCATTTGATTTTCCACTCCATACTTTTAATGACTTTTTTTTAAAGATAATTTAATTATTTGAGAGAGGAAGAAATCACAAGTGGGGAGGGGAGGGGAGGGCAGAAGCGGACTCTCGGCTCAGCAGGAAGCCGGATGCAGGGCTTTGGGCTTGATTCCAGGACCTTGGATCACAACCTGAGCCTAAGGCAAGATGCTTAACCAGATGAGCCCCACAGATGCCCCCATTTATAGTTTTTTTATAAGTAAAATGGGGAGTTAGTATTTGCACTAAATATCTGATAAAGTGATCATGAGAGTCAAGTAAAGAATGAATAAATATATGTGAATCAGCAACTATTTCCTAGGGTCCTTTAGCATAACCCCACAACAAAATGCACTTTGTAGTCATTCTATATGGAATATTACTAAGTTTCATGATAGAAAGGGAAAAGGATAGCTTGGAATAATTCAGACCTTCTTATTTCCTACATGAGAGAGTCTCCTTGCTCCATCCAAGAATCTTGCCAACTCCCTAGAATATTGTTTGCCCTCTGTCACTAGAAATCTGATTCATTAGCAATTAATTATATCTATTTGAAACATTCTGTGAGGGAGCCATGGAAGTCCTCCTTGGTAGGTCCTGACCCGAGAGACACTTTGTATTAAAAAAAAAAAAAAAAAAAGGGAGGAGTTCAGCTGCTAACATTCCTCTGTGGTCTGATTTTTGGGCTGGGTCCAAATGAAATGATTTATTGCAATGGGTGTGCAGGAGGCTTGGGCTAGTTACTCCCCATCACTGTGCTAATTTTGTGTAAAGCTATCATAGATTGAAAAATCCCAAATGCCTCCTTCTATCATTCACTAAATCCAATTGAGATATTTTTGTGCATTAAAAAAAAATCTGTAAAAAGACTTTCATTTCGGAATGATTTCAAATTTATAGAAAAGTTGCAAGAACAGTACAAAGTGAACTTTGAAGGGTCCATTGTTTATTTGCTTTAATGCTTTCTTTCTAAATGTGTATGTGTGCATATATACACATAAACACACGCACATATTTGTTTTTCCAAATCGTTTGAGGTTAAGTTGCAGACATGATTCTTCTTTAACCCTAAACATTTCAGAATGTATTCCTAAGAACAAAGATGTTCTCTTATGTAACTGCAGTACAATGATAAGATCCACAGTTTAACATCGATACAGTATTATTATCTATAGTTCATAATCAAATTTTAGCAATTGACCCAATAATGTCCTTTGTATTTTCTTCTCATCCAGGAGCTAATCTAGATTTTATACAGTACGTCCTCATGTCTCTTCAGTCTCCTTCAATTTAGAATAGTTCCTCAGTCTTGGTCTTTTATAACACTGACATCTTTAAACAGTACAGACCAGTTCTGCAGAATATCTCTTAATTTGGGTTTATCTGATGTTTTTCTCCCAAGTAGATTCAGGTTATATATATATATATATATATATATTTTTTTTTTTTTTAAGATTATTTATTTATTTGACAGACAGAGATCACAAGTAGGCAGAGAGGCAGGCAGAGAGAGGGGGAAGCAGGCTCCCTGCTGAGCAGAGAGCCCGATGCGGGACTCGATCCCAGGACCCTGGGATCATGACCTGAGCTGAAGGCAGAGGCTTAACCCACTGAGCCATCCAGGCGCCCCCAGGTTATATGTTTTTGGCAGGAATCTCAGCTAAGTCACATTATGTCATTCTCAATGCATCATATCAAAGAGGCACCTGATGTCAGTTTAACTCATTGTTGGGAAGCTTAATTGAGCACCTGGTCACATCTTTTCCCTTCCAGAGATGGACAAAATACTATATTACCCCAAATAATCTCTTTTTATAAACTAGGCTTTCTTCTAAATTTCTAGATACATGTTAGAAACTTGTTCCCTAAGTCCATTTCTTGGACCAGCCCACAGGATTTTTGTGAATGATACTTCAGTATGTACTCAAGCCTGCCCCTCTGTAATAGAAGTCCTCTTCAGGGAAAATAACATGAAGCAAGTGTTCTTATATGTTCCAAAGCAAGTAAGGAATACAATGTGTGTAAAGCCTCCAACATACTGCTTTACACTGGCCCCCAATGAGTGGCTGCCATGACTATAACACTGTACATAGTGGGGATGTCAGCACATTTTCCATTCTTATGCTGAAGGAATCCAAGCCACGCATGGACAGCAACCTCAATAGAGTAGATTAAATAACTGTCAATGGTATTGGGGGCTTGAGGGAAATCCTTCTCATGAAGGTAGATGATTGAAAATGGGGATATTTCATATTCACATTCTTGAGTTTGGACCTTTATAACTCTAAGTTTGGAGCTTAATTACAATGTTTCTAAAAGTACAATTTATGATATTTAACAATATATATCATTCATGTATTCATTTATCCAAAACGAAATGCTCTCAAAATTGGGCATGTTTCTAAACTGCTTCTACTGTATTTCCCCTATTTTTTATTTTTTTAATTTCAAGTTCTACCTGATAGTATATGTTATTTTCCCTTCTTGACTTTTGGTTCAATTTTTTCCTCACATAAATAATAGCTACTTATGTGTTGTCAAATGAATGTTACATACACCTTTAACACCATCCATTCCTATCTCATTTCTTGGCTTGCAGATGTTCTCACTGACCGCTTGTCATTCCAATACGTGGACACAATCTCAGTAATGGGTACTTCCTTTCCCTCATCCATTCACTCACATCAAATCCAAAGGCAATAATTCTCAAATTTTAAAATGTGTATCAATTGCTTAGGAGTGGAATGAAGGCTTAGATCCTGAATCAGTTGGGCTGGGAATCTGCATTTCCATGGAACTCCCAGGAAAAGCAGCTGTTGTTAGTCCAGACCCTGAGTGGCAAGGTGCTTGAGAATTTGATACTGAATTGCAGTTTGAGCTATGAACAGGAGGAGCTTGGACCAAAGGGGAGAGGGAGACAAGGAAGGACGGACAGCTGGGCAAAGGTAACACTAATGTAGTGCCTTTGGTTTAATCCAGCTGAATAATAGCATGCAAAGAGCAGTATCTGGTGAGGAGGCTGGGAAAGAGGAACCAGCTGGGACATTTGAGTGTCCAGTGCCAAGGAACTTGGATTTTACAGGGCTGGCTTTCGAAAGATAGAAGTTTATAGTGTTGGGACGCCTGGGTGGCTCAGTTGGTTAAGCAGCTGCCTTCGGCTCGGGTCATGATCCCGGCGTCCTGGGATCGAGTCCCGCATCAGGCTCCTTGCTTGGCGGGGAGCCTGCTTCTCCCTCTGCCTCTGCCTGCCATTCTGTCTGCCTGTGCTCGCTCTCTCTCCCTCTCTCTCTGACAAATAAAAAAAAAAAAAAAAGAAGTTTATAGTGTTAAGCTTTCATTCTGGAGGGGTTCAGACATCAGCCTGGAAGATTGATTAGACCTGTTTGATATGACAGGGAGACGAGTTTTGAGGCATTTTGGTAACTCAGTTGAGAAATGAGGAATTAAAAGAAGGCAAGAGAAAGGAGAAAAGATGACGCATTTGAGACGCAGAGAAAGTAGACTCGACAGCTCTTTCTATGGGAGTGGAAGTGGAGGCCAAACTGCACTGCAGAGTTTGTGAGCCAAGGGGGGCGGTGAGGAGGGGGCGGAGGCAGGGGGCAACAAGTAGAGAATGAGTAGGAAGCAAAGAAGTGAGGGCCCAATAACCTCTCCAGAAAACACAGTTGTCGAAGGGAAGAGAGATTTGGGATCAAGATGAGGCAGGGAGACACAGGGCAAAACATGGGAGAATTTCTTTCTATACTTAGAATAGAAAAGTCTGTAGATTGAGCACTTACAGATGAGAAAAAGGAACAATAACCGATGTCTTGAGGTCCCCAGAAAGCAGAGGGAGACGTACAGCTCTAGGAATTAACATACAATGGCAGGGACTAATCTTTTACAGGAAGGGGGCATTTTTCTCCCACTCTGAATGAGTGTCATCTCCTTTCTTGCCATCCCAGAGGATTATTTCTCACTCATGCTTTTCCTGTTCTCCCACATCTCCTTTGCCCCACATATCCAGAGACTATTGTGACTTGCCTGTCAGCCAGTCAGACAGGAATCTATGCCGTGTTAGAGATCTTTGCTTCGAAGTCTACTACTTATTGTCTGGTATGACAATATTCTGACTACCCAACTCCTTTTGGGGGGACATCCTATACATCATCTGACAGCTGAAGTACCTGTTATCAGTCAAGGTTCTCCCAAGAAATAGAACCAAAAAGATGGACAGATAGACAGACTGATTGATTTTAAGGACTCACGATTTTGGAGTCTCGCAGATGCAAAATCTGCAGGGTAGGCCAACAGGCTGGAGGGTGACGTTGCAGCTCAAGTCCGAAGGCAGTCCAGAGGCAGAATTCCCTCTTCATTAGTGACATCAACCCCTTAAATCCTTCAAGTGTCTGGGTGAGGCCCAACCCACATAATGGTGGGTAATCTGCTTTACTCCAAATCTACTCAGTTAAATGTGAATATCGCGGATCCCTACGGCGGCACGCAGGGGACGAGGGCGGGCCGGGGCTCTGGAGGCGGACACCCCCGCCCCTCCGCCACCGCCCCCAGTTTCCTGGCCCGAGGCAGGAGAGCTGGGGTTGTGGGGCGGGACGCAGTCTGCCATAGGGAGCTACAGGATGAGAGCAGTCCTCAGGTTCCAAAAAAGCCTTGGGGCCAGAGCTGCACATTGGCGACCAGACCATTCCTCGAAGGCCTCCAGGCAGAGCGCGACCTGGGGCCCAAGCGAACTAGGGCGGGGGCGGGAACGCCTGACTGTGCGTGGGTCTCTACGTGATCCACCTGCCTTCCCACCTTGCGTCACTGAGCCCCTCCCCCTCTCCCTGGCTGCTATTTCTTTCCTCGGTTGGTTCTGCGCCAGGCCTGAGGTTAGCTGAGCCGTGAGGACTGTGAGCCTAGCACCGCGCGGGCCCTCAGCCTACTGGACTCCTCAGGTCTGTGCCCCCTGCGGGGAGAGAACCCTGCTCGCTCAGCAGGCGAGCCAGGGTCACGGCGCTGCAGGCTTCGGTGTCCATTTGGATCCTCAGGACCCTAGAGCAGCTTGAAGTTATTATCACCCTGACTTCACAGCTGTGATAACCGAGACCAGAGAGGCTGAGAAGTTCTTCCAGTGTGTCCCACAGCTAGTAGGCAACCGAGTTGGGATTTGAACCCAGGCAGCCGATCTGCGACCTTCAACCTGTCCAAAGACACCACCTGTGCCTGGCGCACAAGCCTTGCTAACTGATGGAGTCTACCAGAACAGAGCCTTAAGAACAGGACGTAGACCTTGGAGGGGAGAAGGGTTGCTGGTCGGACGCAGGGGTCTGCAGGAGAGAGGCCTGTAATTCGATGGTTTTGCTGAAGGCAGATAATATATGGTCCCGGCCTGACCCTGCTGTGGCTCTTGGCTGTGTGACTCTCCCGGCCTCGGCTTTCCCTCCCTCCTGTAGGGCAGGGGATGATCGCTCTTTCACTTGTTTTTGGGGGAAGCACAGAGTTTAGCAGGACTCTAAAGTTACTTTCCTGACGGGTTAGCTCTGAAGCCCTCTGTGGCTATCAATGCCCGGCAGGAGTCGGTCCTCAAGTAGCAAACACTCTGGAGAAACAGCGTTTTTGTCAATCACTTCCCTGAACCTTCATCTCCTCGCTGAAAACCAGGTCCTGATAAAACCTAACATGGCCCGGGGTGGGGGTGGGGGAATGCCTGGGGGCTCAGTAGGTTAAGTGTCTGCCTTCAGTTCAGGTCATGATCTCCTGGTCCTGGAATCCAACACCTTGTTGGGCTCCCTGCTCAGCTGGGAGTCTGCTGCTTACTGTCCCTCTGCTACTCCCCCTGCTTGTGCTCTCTCCTTTCTCTGTCAAACAAAATCTTTAGGGGAAAAAAACAAAAACAAAAACAAAAAACCTAACATGGGGCCCATTTTGAGCAACCTCCTTTCCCACCCCCACCGGAGGTGCCCCTCTGTCTTCCAACCTGGGTTTGAGTTCCTCCGTAGCTACCACAGGCACTGATGTTATTATAGGTGCTCTATCTGTAACCCTACACCCCCCCCACCCCCTCAGCTACCAGGAAGACCCCACTTGGACTGCTTTTTCCACCTCTGTCCTGTGCATTTCAACCAGTGCCTAGCATCTAAATATTTGTTGAATGCTAAGGGAACGGATAAGGATTAAAGGAGGTGATGTATCAATCAAGCTTAAAATATTAAAAAAATATATTAATCACATCTAAAAAATATCCTCACAGCAACTTCCACATTCATGTTCGAACCGAATATCTGGGTACCATGACCTGACCAAGTTGACATGTAAATTGAACTATCACGGTACCTATCTCATTCAGGTGTGAGTTTAATCCTCATGTATAAAGCTCCTGACAAAACTGTCCCTGCACCATAGAACCAAAAAGCAATGTGGTGTGTGTATGTGTTTAAGTTCTTTATCAATGCAATGCTTTTAAAGTTGCTTGAGGGAATACGGAAAATACTTTTGAAATTTTCATTTAATCCAAAAGGAGTTGGAAATACCGAAGGTTACTTCTTCCTATAGTCTTTGAGATGACATAATTCAGTATGGCATTATATATGTTTCAAAAGTTCTACTTAAAAGCATTTTTTTTTTCCTGAGACTATATATATGGATGATCTCATCCTTTACATAGCAAATATTATATAATGTCCTTTACTTTCCTAAAATAAAATTCATAAGTAATATAACCTCCTTACACACATAATTTATAATATACCAACATAATGACCTAGATGTACTATTTTAAAAATAACATTAACATATATTTTAATAAGGAGACATTGAAACACTAGCTTAGAATAGAAAATATAATGAAGCAGGCAGAGGCTTGCATCTATATGTAGTCTCCACGAATGCCACTATTACAAGTAAAGATGGATATACAAATGACTCAAATTCATTAATACAGTAGCTGTTGTTAATGTCGTTTTCCAAGTTTATGTTAATTCTTGTAAAAATCCTGAATCTTACAAAGTAAAATCTTCCCTCAATTTATACAACGGTGGCATTCCTGGAAAATTCAGCATATATCAAAATCATGTGAAAAACACATTTGGCTTTTATGTAAAGCAAAATTAAATTCTTAGCTTAGATAATTATATACAGCTTTTTCACCCACATGAATGCCCAGCAGAACATTTAAAAGTCATGCAGGAGGGGGGACAATTCCTCACTCTGTGGGGGTGTCCCATACATTCCAAGACATTTCTCTTACCATCCTCAGCCCCCATCCTCTATGTGCCAGTGACTCTCACCCACCATTATGCTAACCAAGAATATCCCTACACTTCCAAAACAACCCTGCTGAAAATCACTGACATATATAACTACTCATTTCAGCATGAATTAATGGAAATGAGACCTCTAAGTTTTTAAGAGCTAAGATTAAATGAAACAAGTCACATGAAGTACTGAGAAGATCTTCAAGATAAATTCAAAAGATTTATTGCACCAAATGCCACAGAAAAATGGATCAAAATAATACAAGAACAAATTTTAAGAAAAAATTTCTATACATTGCCATTGATATCTATTTACCTGATCAAAAATATAAAGTCCTATCAATTTGTCTTCTGGAGCGTCAATAATAACAAATCCCAGAATTTTCTCTTTTTAAACACCACTTAAATTTAAACATATTGCAGTCTTGCTCCAAAGATATATGGTCACCAAAATTTTGACATTTAAAAATTAACACTCAGAGGGGGCTGCTTGATTTAGGTAAGTATTATATTAAAATATCCCCTCCCCCACAGCACAATAAAAAACAAATGGTTCACATTTACCAAGAGAAGCTAAAGAATTTTTCAATTTAATGGTGAAAGTATGCATCAACAAAATACTTTCAAAAGTACATATTAGTGGGAAAATCCAGACATTTAAAAGAATTTTAGGGTCACTTTATATTCTTTATTTTTATGTACAACCAACTCTAATGAATAACCTAAAAAGCTACAGACTAAATTTTTTATAAAATCTCAGGACCTAATTATAAGAGCCTAAACAACAGTTTAGTATCACTTAGCAAGCGGGGACTTTCCTCCCTCCAAAAAAGTTACTTTTGAAAAATATGGTAAGTTTAAAAAGTTGTGATGTGTAAACGGCAGTTCCATGGGATGTGAAAAGATTATAGTTACTTTTATTAAAAAACAGCACACTTCAGAAAAATGGATTGAAGCCTGTACAAAAAGCTATTTAACACTGATAAAAATAAAATACTTTGGAATTATGCACAAGTATGGAAGCTACATTTTAAATTTTCATTGTCATGTTTAAACATACACAATTATCTTTACATTCATATCACTCGTCAATCTAGTAAAAATAAAACTGCAACATGCTAGAAAGAGGTCCATCACAGTAACATTTACACACTTCTGCTCTGTCATGCCTCACTAGCTTGCTTAAAAAAGCAAGATGCTACAAAAGTTACACTCAACAGGTAAGACTTAAAAGTTGAAGAAACCCTAAAGGTGGAATCCTGTCAACTGAGGTAGTTTTCTTTTTGTTTTGTTTTGTTTTGTTTTTCATTTTAATTTTCTTCTTGAGGTGGGCATTGGGAGAGGGCGGGATCCCTTTCTTGCCTCTTGGGCTACGACAGAATGAAGCCACCGGGTGGTGTCTGTGGGTGTATTTGAACGCAATTCCATGAGTTTTTGTTTTTTTTTTCCTTTTCCACTTACAGGAAGAGGTTGAATTTTAAGACAAAACTTGAGTGCTATTTAAAGGAGGATTATAAAAGAGCAGCAACATTCCTGGTCTGTTTTTGTAGGCAAGAGATGTGAGGATTAGGTTCTGACTAGAATCCTGAGTGTCACCGAGACAACCCCCACATGTGACCCACCTGTAGTTTTCCAATAGACGTTTTCTGAGAGAGAGTTTTAGAACAGTAGATTAAGAGGCAAATTAAATTTTCTCAGGCTTTGAGAGGACTGGGCTAAATTTTTATGTGTGGAGTTTAGAATTAGCCATTTAAACTCAATTTCCCCCTACATGGGTCTAATTTTTAACATGCCGCTATGCATACACATTTTGAATGAAACTACTTTTGTTTCTAGTTATTTTCTATGAATCCCTGGAAAATGGTGAATGAGGGAAAGTGCTCAAAACATGTAAACAAGGAAAGGGGAAAGAGAGATGAGGGGAATGGTCTACACCGGTACAGATGGGAATGCTGTAACATCAGCTATCATAATTTATTCACACATAACGAGAAACAAATGATGAGTGAGCCGAGCCAGAGGTGAGGTTCATTCTCTGTGTAACACACCAGCAAGCAGTGATGTCATGGAACTGGAGACTTAAAAACACCAAACTCAGATGTTAGAGGAAATAAAATAAACATAAAAAGGACGGAAAACTTCAATCCTGTAAAAGACATAAAATAAAAAGCAAAGATCTTAAGAGCCTTAATGCACCCACCTACAGTTCACATCATAAAAAAAGAGAGAGAGAAAGAGAGAGAGAAATGAAGGCAGCAGTTCTGACCTATTCCTAAAGAAATATTACACCTATTTTTCTCCATTGGTACTGCTGCTATACTCTTTCAAACAATTAACTTGCATTTGTAAAAGAATAGACAAATTTATGGAACTTGGGTGTTTAGAATCAGAATTTTATCAAATAAAAAATCTGAAGTCATTCTAACCCCTAAAAGGGAATTTACTTCATAATCTTAGGTACAAAAGGGTACACGAGAAGGACCGGAATTAATTTCTACGACAGTGAAAGGAAACCAGAGCCTGGTTATAACCAATTGTACTCAAGATCTGCAAGGGGCTAACAATGTTCTGATGTGTGAGATTAGCGCCTGTCTTTTCACAATCCAGTTTTGAAAAGTCTTTTCCTTTACCCTGGACGTCAGTACGTGGCCTGACATGGCCAGAGTTCATGGCCAGTAAACCAAGAAAAGTTTCTTTCACATTAAGGTTTCTGATAAAGTGAACCATGCTAATAAACAATCTTTCATTTTGGCATATTTTATCACGGGTGAGTTAATTTCTGCAGAGGTGTTTTGCAAAGGACTTAGGGGTTAGGAGGCACAGAGAGGAGAATGTAACACAGATCATTTATGGATTGCTGGTAGATGTACAAACCAATTTCTTTCAATGGTCGTCCTGAACTGTCGCAGGCTCATTCCCTGCCAGGCCCGCTGTGCCTCTGAAAGTACAAACAGTCGTTTGTATTAACTATTGTGGAAGAAAGTGGCTTCGGCTGGAAGAATTTAGCAAGAGAAACACTCTTGAGCTTATAGAAATGACTTTGGTAAATGGCCTCTCTTAAGAAGGCTGCTGAAAGCTCTAAAGTATGAGGATAAAACATATGGCATCAGACTGTGCACTCTGCTGCTCTGAACTACATCTTGATGAGATTAAGATGCTACATTGGTTCCTGGGTTTATTGCACCAATAGTCCGTCTCTAACCTACCTGTGGCTGCATCTGCAACAAGGTAAACTCCAAGATGTGGAAAGAGTGGGTCCCTAAAGCACCCTCTGCCCAACGGTCGATCCTCTTTCCTGTTTTCTGCCAGGCAGTAATGCCTACAGCCACCGGAGCGGAAGATGGCACAATGTGGCTTGCTTCCTTTCACCTTCTGTAAGAAACAAACTCTGCCCTGGAATCCAAATCCCTTGCTCTGACTGTCTTCTTAGGACAGCAAATAAAGCATTCTCCATTTTGGAGCTCATGCTTAAACTCTGAAATGTCGTCCTACTGGAATGGTATGTCCACTGGTTCCCTTATCATTCTGCCCAAACACACAAGGTGATCTGTACCAGCAGCTTAGTGTTTACTGTAGTGTTTATGTTTCCTCCTACCAAAAAGGTCACTCTCTCTGTTGATTCATGGGTAACAAAAGGCCAAAGAGTATTCACGAAAAACACAAATGATATAATGTCAAGTAAACCTAAGTCGTCCAATGAAGCATCCGCTTGAAAGCAAGAAAACAAAACAAAACAAAGCGGTGGAATGACTGTTTCTGTTTGCTCTTCTCATGCTTTTGACGTCACAGAGAGCTTACTCCTTTCAACTTCGGTTGAGAATCTGATTTTTTTTTTTTCTTCCAAGGAAGAACTGTCCTGAGCTTTAGCTTATAAGAGTATTTGCGCAACGTAAGGAGAATGAGTACTGGCAATAGCAGTCAACAGAGGCAGGTCGTTGGATTCAATCCTGAATAGTGAAAAAAGAAAAGAATATTAAAATAGCATGATTTTACAGGAAAGTATTACTGCTAGGTACCAAGCTTGCCAGATCCTTGCTTAAAGCTATGACAAAGAGGTGGAAAGATGCTAAAACTGTTCTTTTAACACAATCTCCCAGTGACCACCGCCTGACGATGCAGAGAAGGATGCAGGTGTGCTCTGTGTGTGTGTGTGTGTGTGTGTGTGTGTGTGTTGGGGGGGTACACAAAGCTGCTCCTCCCACAGCTGGAGTCACCCAGATGAACCCCAGAACGTTTCTATATTCTTTGACAACGTCATTGCGTTGTACTCTAATGTCTTCTCCAGTATCTCCTCATTCTTCCAGTCAGCACTCTGGAACACGTACTGAAATTCTGCAACTAGGCTAGACTCAGGCTTAGGAAAATGATGAAGGTGGGAGTTTTTTCCATAAACTTGGGAATTTGTTCAACAGGTTAGACAATTTAGATCCTCACTAAGCATCTGAGCTACAAGATTCTGAGAGCAAGGTGACATCAATAGATAGTCAAGAGAATCATAGCATCAAAGGGATGCGGCTTTGGCTGCCTCTCTTACAGCAGAGGCGGATACAGCGTGGTCACTGGCTCAACGCTGCCAAATGTCCTGAAAAAAATTAGGACTGCCTCAGTCCATGAAATATGTCCTATTTTTTTCCCCCTTGAATTCCAAAAATGAAAAATCAAAAATAAAATTTAAAAAGGTAGCTGGCATTACTTCATGGAACTTTCTATGCTTTCTCCAGTAAGCTGCCTACAGATCTCCTTTCAGGGTAGATAAGAAGTTCTTTAGTACCTTTTGTGCTGCTGGTTCTGACTAGGAGAGGAAGGGGCAAAAGCGAGGCTGGGTGTGACCCTCACTAATAATGTACCAAGAGGACCGAGAGACGAGGAAGGTGTATAAATCCTTAGGATCCTTCTAACAGTGTTGATGGACACCTGCCAGTCAGGGGCAATGGAAAACCTTGAGGGGAAAACCCTCAAGGCTGAGGCTGGAAGAGATGTGAGCAACAACTAACAACAACAGCAACAAATACACATTGCAAGTTAACTGCAAAAGCAAATGCCTCAAAAGGGAGAAACATTTTTTTGAATAAAGTATGGGGGAAAAAAATGTATGACAGGAAATGCCAAGAGCCAAACAATACAGTAAGTCATATCCTGGGTGTGAAATATGAAAAGTCTGACAAGAATGCAAAGGCCCGAGTCTTGAAATAATATTTTGATTAGCAGGCTTGATAAAGAATTTCAAGGTTGACACTATATACACAATATTTTCTCGCCCCAAATTAGGGGAGTCATCATCACAGGGAAGGGGGTCAATTCCCCATGTGCACAATGTCTTTTTGTTAGCTCTCTGTTGAAACATTAAGCAGAGAGTAACACAAGTCAGAATTTCTTCTCTGAGAGAAGGTATATGCGGCCAAACCCCGACCCTCTGGAAGATGACCTACACTGTCAATCACATCAGCACGTCTCCCTTCCCAAGGGGCTTCTAATGAAGGAGGGGAAAGTACAGTCACCCTGTGGACATGTAGGTGGCCTCTGAGAGTCCAGAAGGCCTTTCTTGCCTCCTCCAGGGAACAAAATATAAACCCAAGCTCTGCTGCATGTCTGACGGGTTGCGCCTTTGACATCTTACCTAAATGACTAGAAATGGGCAGGCAGAAAGGGATTAAATTTTTCACTTTCAAGCATAAAATAATCCAGAGAGGAGACTAACATAAACTACCACTTGCTTAGCACTCTGCATTTGTTTGCAAGTATGAAACTCCAGTATCAGAGATATGAAGAAGGAAAGCAGCAGAGGCACAAATCTCATGAACCCCACACATTTCAACGGGGCACCAGGACCACGGGTTCTGGGTGAGACAGGCTAAGTGGGTCAGTCAGTGGGTGCAGTGCTAGGGTCAGTCCTATCACGGGGGAAACAGTGACACGTCACAGCACTCACCCCAGTACGACACCTAATTCTTTCACATGGACTCGTGTGTGTCCACGAAGATATTCAGACAGCATCTTACTTTTCAGGTACATCTCCTGTAGTCTATCTTCAAGATGCATGATGCACTGCGAAGCCAATAACATTCACAATGAGGGCTGGGATTCAAGTCTCTGCCAACGTTCTAAGAGCTGGAATGCTCTTAATTCATTTCTTTTTTTTTTTTTTTTTTAAGATTTATTTATTTATTTATTTGACAGAGAGAGAGATCACAAGTAGACAGAGAGGCAGGCAGAGAGAGAGAGAGAGGGAAGCAGGCTCCCTGCCGAGCAGAGAGCCCGACGCAGGACTCGATCCCAGGACCCTGAGATCACGACCTGAGCCGAAGGCAGCGGCCCAACCCACTGAGCCACCCAGGCGCCCCTCTTAATTCATTTCTAAGGACACAGCTATAATCGCATTCCTTCCCAGTACACTTGAAAATTATAAACCACATCAAACCACTGGTAGGTAGAAGAAAAGGATTTTATAAAAACAACAGCTTACTTTTTCTAATGACTATTAAGATTTTCATACATATCTGCTAGTCTTTTTAAAAAAGCATTTTTAACAGGGTGCCTGGGTAGCTCAGTTGGTTAAGCCTCTGCCTTTGGCTCAAGTCATGATCTCAGATCCCGGATCTAGCCCCCGCATCAGATTCCCCACTCAGCAGGGAGCCTGCTTCTCCCTCTCCCTCTGTGCGCTGCTCCCCCTGCTTGTGCCCTTTCTCTCTCTCTCTGTCAAATGAATAATAAAAAAAAAATCTTTAAAAAAAGCACTTTTAACACAGCTGAAATCATTCTGTAAGTGCAATTATTTCCTACTTTTTAAAAACCTTGTAATAATCCTTTACCCATGTTATTAATAAATCTTTATCAATGTAATTTTTATCATTAAATAATTTTTGAGAATGTGAAGTACCGTTATTTATGTATCCACATGGCAACCTGAGATTTTGCTACTATAAATAACTTTTTAAAGAATATCTTTGTTGGGGCGCCTGGGTGGCTCAGTTGGTTAAGCGACTGCCTTCAGCTCAGGTCATGATCCTGGAGTCCCGGGATAGAGTCCCGCATCGGGCTCCCAGCTCCACGGGGAGTCTGCTTCTCCCTCTGACCTTCTCGTCGCTCATGCTCTCTCTCACTGTCTCTCTCTCTCTCTCTCTCTCAAATAAATAAATAAATAAAATATTAAAAAAAAAAGAATATCTTTGTTGTTTTCCTATAGCTCACTTATTTTGGCGAAATGCATCCTCAACAGTAGAGTAAATGGAAGAAGGTTACTTTAAATCTTCTCTTTCTCTCAAGAGTATATTTTAACTAGGTCTTTAGTAACAATAAAGAAAAGGCAATTATTCTCAGGACATCTCTACCCTTGGAATTATGTCCAACTTCATTTTTTAGAGAATAGCAACCATCTGTGTCTTTCACCAGAGGCAAATGCTTTTGCATTTGGCAGGCAGAGCCATCCAAGCATCTTCAGTAAGACACCTGATGGCTCTGGCAAGGGTAATTCCATCATACATAATTTTCTTCTAGACCATTATGCCTGTTATTTTCAAGGTAAAAAGATTAACAGATGCATTTGAAAATGTTGATCTTGACCATCTGGGCTGATCAGTGACATGAAAAAAGTATCTATTCAAGAGGCAATCTTTTCAGTTTTTCATTGGCTTAAAATCTTAAATGCATTGTGTTGAGTGGATGAAAAAACTGGTAAGTGACTAAGAGTAATAATCAAAGCAAGGAGGATTTTACCAATTTTCATGAAAATGTTCCTCCAAGTAAACAGAGTTAAGTGGTAAAAGGATCTCCTGTTCAGTTTCAGTTCCTTATAAAGTAAATACAAGGTTTTTAATAAGAGTGTTATAAAATATTTAAAAGAACTTTCACATTACATGGCATCCTTTGTTTTAAATGGTTAATTTATGCTGTTTTCATCATCCCCATGGACACTGTATGTTGTAATGTGGAAATAAAGAGAACACTGGTCTATATGGAACTTGAAATCAAATCATTCAGAATTTTTTAATAAAAGGTTTGATTATCAAATTGAACTGCTTTGTGTTCTGCCCTTCCCTTCCTGGCATTTTATTCCTGAGATGGATTTCTTCAATTTTTAACATCTGAAATTTTAAATAGCCACTTTCTCCTTTTGAAAATACTAAAAGTTCTAATAGTCATTTAGTCGTGTTTCATTCAAGTGATTTTTTTTTTTTTTTTTTTTTTTTTTTAAAGATTTTATTTATTTATTTGACAGAGAGAGATCACAAGTAGACGGAGAGGCAGGCAGAGAGAGAGAGAGAGAGGGAAGCAGGCTCCCTGCTGAGCAGAGAGCCCGATGCGGGACTCGATCCCAGGACTCTGAGATCACGACCTGAGCCGAAGGCAGCGGCTTAACCCACTGAGCCACCCAGGCGCCCCCTCATTCAAGTGATTTTTTAAGGAGAATTTTAAAACCGCAGACGAAATTTTCTTTGACCTCGGTTTTGTCAGGTTAAATAAGTCATTCACAGTATTAAGTGGCCAAACATACTTCTGTCCAAACGAAGTAAAAAGAATTAGCTACAGCAATTTACTGCCTAGATAACTAAGATGTCAAATGTAGCTATGTCATAAGACTTATGTATCACAGAATAAAATATGAAAGTTTGGCAAATTTTATAACAGTAAAAAAATATAAAATCTAATGGATCTGTCTTTCCTTACAGAAAAAGAGAGTTCAGCGTGATGCAGCTTGCTACTAGGAAGAAAAAGTGCCTGCAAATATAGAACAAAAGTGAGGTCATCATAACCCATAAGTGCTTCTCACATTACCCCCTTGGGACAGAGGTCCTTAAAGAGTATGCTTCAGTCTAAACCCCAAATAAATAAAAGATTTTGGTGAAAAGCTGTTGTCAGTCTTTACAGCCAGTAAAATTATTTCATGAAACTAACTATTAGCAATCACTCTAAAGGTAGCTGTTTCCTGAGAACCCATGACATGTAATGCATTCTAAGTGCTTTACCTGAATCATCTAATTTCATTTTCATAACCACCTGAGATAAGCTACATCATCTCCTCAGCTTTATAGATGTAGAAACGGAGACTTTGAGAAGTCACAAAGTAGTGGAGCTTGGATTTGACCCTAGACTACTGGACTCTAAAGGCCACACATGGGCCACTGCTGTGTACACTGGCTGTTAAAGGGTCTCATATTGGCAGAGTGCTTTGCCAGTTTTTTGAAAAGCAGTATCTCAGACCTAATTTTCAAAGGATTCTCACAACATGCTTGTCGAATGGGTACTATCTTTGTTTTACAAGTGAGAAAGCTGAGGTTCAGAGATGCTCAGGACCACCCACCATCACACAACTCACCGATGGCAAAGCCTATACTTCAACCCAGTTGCGCTGAGGGGGTCTCCCTATCGTGACACACTTCCACAACTTAGATGACAACTACACAGTATTTCAAAGCACCTTCTTGAAGGCCACAGAAGTCTTGACTTTCTGAGGAATGTGGGGAAATTACCTCAGGAAAATTACCACTCCATTTGCAATTAGTGTAGGTAATTAATATTCTGCTTCCTCCTTTGTTATTAAATAGCTCTGTATCTGTTGTGGAGGCCAGAAGGGAGGTAACGGATACCCTGGTCTGGGGGTATACTGCAGAGGGCAACTGAATGCAGGAGGGAATGAGTGGAGAAGGTGGGCATTCTCTCACCTAGCACAAATCCCTGAGGTCATACAGCTCACTTAGCTTCTCCTAGCTATCTGCCCTTGAGCCTCTCTTCCAGTTTTGAGACCTCTCTCCCTCCCTCTCAAAATATATTTTCTCTCAATCTCTTTGCGCGCGCACACACACACACACACACACACACACACACACACACACACACACATTATACTGAAAAGTATCTGTTTTATATATCCATTCCAATGCCAGGGGTGGGGGGAGAGCGGTTAATCATTTCCTAGGAGTTTACAGGCTCTATTTGCTGTGTTTAATATAAGGTGATGAAGTCAATTTAAAACCCGATTTGAAAAGGAGCAACTGATACCATCTTCTATGGGTATAATACTCCAAAACTGTCTTTATACAAACGATATTCCATTTTATCTTTAACAATATTACAGGAACAGTCCCTAAACAAAAGGAACTAGAATCCCTTCAGAAACTCACTTGCTTTATGTCGATCCGATAAAGGAGAACTAATGAGTTCTCCAAAGGAAGATTTTAAATTTCCTTTTATGTCTGATCCCTTCCCCCAAACCTTTTTTGTTTTACCATATACCTTATTCAAAAAGATTTCCATGTCACTGCGTGTTATTTCGTGGATGAGCTATTGTTACTGAAATCTATCCTATCGGCCGGTGTTCTGTTGCATGTTCTATTTTTAGTTATGCTAATGTCCAATCATACTAAAAACAAAACATGTGGGTCTGTGATTTTATAATCAAAGTACTAGTAGAAGTGCTATAACGATCTTCCTTTGGTGATATGAGAACAAATACTTACAAAATCAGCAGGGAGGTGAAGCTTGTAGAGCTGTAAAATGGAGTGAAGCAAACTAGACACCTGACTCGAGACCAAGACATCCTGGCCCAGTTTCATGCTGTCCGTCACCTTCCTCTGACTTGTGGCTACCTGGACACTCCACTTGTCTGTGTCTGCGATAATACAGACTGCTTCGGCGATCGGCTCGTCGAGCACTGGATGCTGGAAACAAACACAGGGGGTCAACTCTCCACAGCACTGCCAAGTGGCACTCAGAATGTCCAGAATGTTTCTGTAATTTAACATTAGCCTAACCGTTCATAAGCTGCCAGCAGGAGCTACAGAAATTGAGAGTGTTATAGGAACTAAAATAGGAGTGTCATCAAATTGTCATTTGAAATTCCTGTGATAAAAATTGCATTTAAGTGGTATTTTTTTCCTTCCACCCAGGAAGTACACTATAAATGTTGGTAATGTTCACAGAAAAGTGAAAAGATACATGCCCTCCCTACATTCCAGGATAATAAAATTCCTTTTGAAAGACTGCACTCTCCTTTTAAAATGGAGAAAATTAGAATAAGCTATTCTATAAGGATTCTATTGCCATTTCTCCAAAACAAGCTTAGTCTGAGCAACTTAATATTCCCTTAAAGTTATAGCTTTAATCATTGAGCACTATTTACTTAGTGACCATGTGTGTCATACATAAATCAACTCTACACAACCAACTAAAATCAGATGAGGGACTACTTTATCTAGAGGAGTTCAAAAGGTCAAACAATGGCTACTGAGTAGTAATTTAAAATACAAAATTCTCAGTAACTCTGTAGTTACAGATAGAGCAGGTTGAGCACCAGTGAATTGTGACATAGGGCAAACAGGGTAAACACTGATGGGATCAAGGAAAAGGCCTTAAAAAACCAACCAACAAACGAATATTAATGTCCTCAAACTGATCAAAGTGTAACTGCTTTATCACCAGCACCTGGAATAAGGGCACTGTGGCTCACTGGGGAAGGTCATGGATGGAGGATTCTCCAAACATGAGTTACTTTAGAAGGCTGCAGATCCAGATATTGATAACAAAAAGGGACAGAGACATTGGCTCAATTATTTGAAAAGGAGAAACTTAATGGGTACAAGAAATGTTAAAAAAAAAAAAACGTGAAAAATGAGAACGAGTCATTTTTAAATCACTGGATCAAAGAGAAAAGACTCAAGACAAAGGGGTCAAGGGTTGAGACAAACTGTGGGGAATCTGTGAGCCTATTCCTTGAAGGAGGGACCTGAATCTTTTCTGCCTGAATTCTTAGCTCCTAGCACAGGAACTGGCATTTGAAAAATGTTACTAAATTAAAATGAGACAGGTTAAGTACAAGCAAATGACAGAGATGATGAGCACCCTGCATTCCCTAACACAGCATGGTGTTGCTGACTTCTATGTTTGCAGGTTCTAGAAAAGAGAAGAACCAGCCAAACATTTACAGAAGAGTACCTTAAAAGAAATACCTGAAGCATTAGACCCAGTCTCAGACTACTACATATCTAACACAGAACTCCCTGAATATATCCATGGGGCAAACTCAATGTCTCCATCTAACCATGTCATTTAGTAGCTACTTACTTGTTTACTGAAGAATGAACACTCTTTTTTCTTTAAATAACGATTTTATTTATTTATTTGACAGACAGGGAGAGTGAGCACAAGCAGGGGGAGCAGCAGACAGAGTGAGAGGAGAAAAGAAGGCTTGATCCCAGGACCCTGGAATCATGACCTGAGCTGAAGGCAGATGCTTAACTGACTGAGCGACCCAGGCGCCCCAAGAACAAACACTTTCTAAAAGAAGATGGAAGTAAAGGAAAATGTAAATTAGTCAAGGCAAAAAAAGATATAAAAATATCATGAGCAACTACTTTAGTTATAATTTAAGGGGTGACAGGGCTACTGGTAGTCCATCCCTGACCTGGTCTAAACTTCTATGGGGTCAGAGAGTTGAAGCTTAATTAAGTTCCAATGATTCTGGAGATTCCTAACATATATCTTTGCAAAGAAAATGCAAACCCTAAAAAGATTTGGCTTATGATTTGGTCTATTAGTCAGTCTACAAGCTTTTACAATTTAAAGAACTCTAAGATCCAGAAGACCATGTTTGGATTCATCACAGAAACACACACCTATACACACCCTATGCCCTGGTATTCAATTTAAAATTCCTCTTTGGAAAGGCTCTACTTTTAAGGCACATGCAGAACTATAATATACAAAAAACTTGCATGTAGGCTTCTTTTTAATACTGACTTTTTCTTATTAGCTGTATCTTAATTATAGAAGTAATTAACAGTGGGATCTGTCAGGGTGACTTTTGAAGTTCACAATTTTATCAAGTTCACATGTACACCAGGATCCACACAAACATATACACGGAGCAGCAGTAGTAACACACATGGAACAGTACCTTTGAGAAATTAAGTACTTTAATAAATGCTGTAAAACCTAAGACTGAATGATTCAAACACCCATTAAAAGCCTGATCTGCTATCCTTAGGGCTTGGAGTTTGGGTGCAGAAACTAAAAAAAAAGAAACGGGCAGGAGAGGCAGGGCATGGAGGCATCCTGGTGGAGACTTTGGCCTCCTGTGGATCTTAAGAAAATCAAGATAAGAGTATGGATAGCTACCAGCTGGGCAGTAATTTTACCTAGTAAGATTCCTCTTCTTAATGTAAAAAACCCTAGGGGCGCCTGGGTGACTCAGACTTGGGTGTCTGTCTCCAACTCAGGTCATGGGGATCAAGCCCCACATCAGGATCAGCAGGAAGCCTGTTTCTCCCTCTTCCACTCCCCCCCACCTTGTGTTCTCTCTCTTGCTGTGTCTCTTTCTGTCAAATAAACAAATCTTTAAAAACAAACAAACAAAGCTTAAGGAGTGGGGGGCGCTTTGTTAGTCTGACTAAATGTCAGAAAACCAAAAAAGGCCCCATCATATATTTACCCCTTTAAAAGTTCTCCTCCCAACCATTAGTGTCTGAGATTAAACAGGACCTCTGATGTTTGAGTTCGGAATGAAAATCTGAAGGAAATATTAAAACAGTCACTTCCCTTAAATTGCTTGTTTGGTTGAAAGCTTTACCAACTTTAGGGACACTGTTATTTATCAATTTTCCTTTTCTCTCTCAAACTGAAGAGAATTTCAAGGTAAGTTTCTTGTCCACAGAGTTCATTAAATTCTCTTATCAGAATGAGTCTGCAGAGGCACCTGGGTGGCTCAGTCAGTTAAGCGGCTGCCTTTGGCTCAGGTCATGATCCCAGCACCCTGGGATCAAGTCCGAAGTCAGGCTCCCTGCTCTACAGGGAGTCTGCTTCTCCCTCCGTCCTTCCTTCCACCGTCCTCTTAATGTCTCACAAATAATAAGTAAAATCTTTAAGAAAATAAAAAAGAGTGAGTCTGCAGTACGTTTCTACATTCTCCATAATCTGAGACTTCCAAAAGTGCTGCCCTATTCTTGCCCTTACAAGGGCCCACAGCCCGGTGAGCGCACACCCACGACCCGGGTGGCAAGGCAGAGCTGCCAGCCCTCCTGCCCCAGCTGGCCCTCCTGCCACCCCTTCCACATGACTGCCAGCAGCCTCCATGTCCGTGCCTCCCTCAGAGACGTGATCAGACAACTGAGAAACTTCTGACAGACTGGAGGATGAGGGAACCCTGGAGATCAATAGAGAGCTGTAGGCGATTGTCAGGGTGGAAAGCCAATCTCTGTCAGAGGAATGAAGTCTCGGCCATAAGCCAATTATCTTTTTTGCCTTGCTCTGCTCTATGGGAGTTAGAAACAGTCATTTCTTTAGTTCCACTCTGTCAATATCTCATTTATCCAATCTACTTTCCTGTACAGATTTCTTAAGATAAAGTGACAAATGAAAGGCTTTGTATTAGAGGTCTTTAAAGGTTTCTCAAATATCTTTTGGCTATTGTATTTTGTTGAATCATCAGATTAGGTCTGGTTAATTCACAGCCACTAGGAATTTGTGGGTCTGTTTTCCAGGAGTTCTAGATGTCCAGGACATTCCAATTTCAGGGTTCTGGATCAGAGCTCTGAGTACACAAAATAGACTACCTTGGCTTATATATCCAAGACTTCTGCCTAACTTGCTAATTCAAAAACCTACTCTAGCACTTATCACCCAAACACCTAAGTTCTAACTTTTCTTTTTTTTCTCTTTTAAAAAAGATTTTATTTTATTTATTTTTGCGAGAGAGAGGGGAGGGTGCACAAGCTGCAGGGAGGGGCAGAGGGAGAAGCAGACTCCCCTCCCCCTCACTGAGCAGGGAGCCCAATGTGGGACTCGATCCCAGGACCCTGGGATCATGACCTGAGCTGAAAGCAGATGCTTAACCGACTGAGACACTTAGGTGCCCAATTCAAACTTTTCCTTTTTCATACTTAAAGCTCTTTACAGTGTGGGCTACATTGACCTATACGTATTTACTTCCAGGACTCTCTAAGAATCCCCTTCTCCAGTCTGGGAGGGCTCCTGCCTCTTAGCTCAGGCTGTGCCTGGAATATTTTCCCTGCTTCCTTCTAAATTTTTCAATCTTTTGGGGTCATCTGGGTGACTCAGTCAGTTAAGCGTCTGCCTTCGGCTCAGGTTATGGTCCCAAGGTCCTGGGATCAAGCCCCACATCAGGCTCCCTGCTCAGCAGGGGATCTCCTTCTCCCTCTGGCCCCCACCCCGCTCTCATGCTTTCTCTCACTCTCTCCCTCAAATAAATAAAATCTTAAAAAAAAAAAATAAATGTTGCTGAAGCAGAGGGGGGAGAGATGGGGTGTCTGAGTGATGGACAATGGAGAGGGGATAGCGAGAGAGGGAACACAAGCAGGGGGAATGGAAGAGGGAGAAGCAGGCTCCCCATTGAGCAGGGAGCCTAATGAGGGGCTTGATCCTAGGACCTTGGGACCATAACCTGAGCCGAAGGCAGATGCTTAAAGAGTAGGTCACCCAGGGTCCCCAGAATCTACATTCTTTAAAAAAAAAAAAAATGTTTATTTACTTGAGAGAGAGCATGAGCGGAAAGAGGGAGAAGCAGGCTCCCTGGCCCAACACGGGACTTTATACCAGGACCTGGGGATCATGACCTGAGTCGAAGGCAGACACTTGACTGACTGAGCTACCCAGGCACTCCTACAATCTACATTTTGACATTTAATCACACTGTCTTAACTTGTTC